TTGTAAAAGGTCTTTCACAGAGAGTCAGACCAGCTTCACTTACTTTCAGGATCTACAGGCTGACATCACAAAATCTTTGCTCTCTGCACTCTGGTTAGAATCCAACAAACAATTTCCTTTGGGATCAAGATATATCAAGTAAAAATGAGTCGTTTCAAAGTCCTGCCTCCTCCTGCATGTTAGCATTAGATATCCTTCTGTATCTTTGTTCATTATGTCCACTGGAGAGTCATTGGTGGAATAGTGAAAAAAAATGAATCAGTGTTTGTTTCAGAAACAGGAGCAGATGCAAATCTAAAATCTTAAACAGTAGTGAACATGCATGTATGCAAGGTGCTGTAGCTTAGCTGGTCAAAGCGTCTGTCTAGTAAACAGGAGATCCTGGGTTCAAATCCCAGCAGTGCCTGAGTTCTTCATACGACTTCTTGTTCTTCACACAGTTAACTCTTGTGCTTTAGCTATAGAACAGTCTGTTGCTCTCTAAACAATTGTGTCCCAGAACTTCAAGGATATTTTCTTTTCAGTTTTTTATTAAAAAGATTACAAAATAACGGTGGCACGACGGTGTGGTGATCAGAACTGTCGCCTCACAGCAAGAGGGTTCCAAGTCTGAGTCCCCAACAACTTTCCTAACAGCTGAGTGTTTCACACAGGTAACAGAAAGTCACACCAACTGGTTCATGACTGGATTTGGACCTGGTCAATGTTATGTCTCATTTATCCAGCTGTCAGTGAAGTACACCTACACTGCTGGCCTGAAACACACATGCAGAGACACTGGCCATGACAAGGACATTCTGCACAGAGAAAACAGTGAAGTCAGAGATGATGATAGTAATTGGTGAAATAATCATATTTTACTCTGACGGTCTCATTAGGAGGCTTTTAGTTCTATCCAACGTGAATCCCCACAGGATTGATCTTCTCAGCAGGCCTGTGTAGCTCAGCTGGTAGAGCATCTGACTTTTAATCTGAGGGTCCAGGGTTCAAGTCTCAAAGGCTGATGAAGCTCACAGAGAATTTCAGTTATGTTGTGTCCAGAATTAAGAGGCTGCTAAAGCTGCTCTTTTCAGCACCGTAGCCAGGCTGACAGAGCCACAGCTCTATTGAATCAAGTACTCCAATATCTCTCACTAGCCATGACTTCATGAGCTTCTTTCATGATAAAATTCTAGCTTTTAGAAACAAAATCTACCAAGACTTGCCCTCAACTGGCATCGACTTATCTTTAAACTCAGAAACCGTAGGACCAGAATCAGGTATATGTTTTGACTGTTTTGCTTCCCTCAATGTTTGTCAAAAAATTCAATAATTTCTTCATCCAAACCATCAACTTGCCTCTTGGACCCCATCCCGACTAGGCTGCTTAAAGAAGTCCTACCCTTAGTCATTACTTCTCTGCTAGATGCGATAAGTCTGTCCTTATTAACAGGCTATGTGCCACAGTACTTTAAAGTAGCTGTAATTAAACCTCTTTTGAAAAAGCCTAACCTGGACCCAGATGTTTTAACCAACTATAGACCTATAACACTCTATCAACTTGCTATCATTGCTATGCAGACAGTGGTGGGCCCCCCCCCCCACACACCCCCACAGAATATACATGTCGAGTACACTGCCTTCTGGAACGCTCTGGCAACGTCACCGTATTCACAGCCGCTGATTGGATAGTCCAATATCCAATCAGCGGCAAGCTAGCAAACAACCCAAAATATAGTTGTGTTGGTGTATTAGCTATTTTATGATTTGGTGGCGGATTGGTGGCGAAGACCATTTTCAAAATGGACTTTTCAAGAAAAGTGAGTAAAATGTTGCCATTTCCTAAATAATATCGCGAGTTTATTAGGATATTACTGATGTTTTGTTTTTGTTTTGTTTTGTTTTTGTTTTTTTTGGTGGGGAGGTGCTTTTGCAGCTAGCTGCAGTAGTAGAAGACTTGCGCAGCCCTGATCTTTAGACTGTATTTTAGGCTTGTCCCGTTCCGATATTTGGATCGTATCAGGTGGCAGGAGAAAATGCAGATCCAGACACATTTTTTTTTAAAAGTCCGATCCCACATGAGCATTAGCATTAGCATCTCCTAACCCACAGGTCTGTGTCATAACCATTAAGTTGTTAAAGGAGTAAATCCCTGTTCACCATAAGTCTGACAACTAAATAAGTAGATAAATAACTTTCAACTTTAATACAAAAAGCTGGATCGGGACATCCCTACTGTATTTCTACATTATAAGATGATTTCTATAACCATAAAATAGTTATTGAGGGGTGACTTGATTCAGACGGAGCACTACTGAAGGCTTAGGTGTGAAATGCACGGCCCGCCACTGTATGCAGATGATACTCAGTTATATCTATTGATCAAGCCAGATGAAACTTATCAGCTAGCTAAGCTTCAAATGTGTCTTCAGGATGTTAAACTCAGCTAAAACTGAAGTTATTGTTCTAGGGCCTAAGCACCTCCGTGACGCATTATCTAGAAATATAGTTTCCCTGGATGGCATCGCCCTAGCCTCCAGCACCACTGTGAGAAATATTGGAGTTATCTTTGATCAACTCTCACATTAAGCAAATTTCACGAACTGCCTTCTTTCACCTTTGTAATATCGCCAAAATGAGAAGCATCCTGTCTAAAAACGATACAGGAAAACTAGTCCATGCATTTGTTACTTCTAGGCTGGATTACTGCAACTCCATATTATCAGGCTCTTCAAAAAAGTCCATTAGGACTCTTCAGCTGATCCAGAATGCTGCAGCACGTGTTCTGACAGGAACCAGTAAAATAGATCATGTTTCTCCTGTCGTGGCTTCTCTGCACTGGCTTCCTGTTAAATCCAGAATAGAATTTAAAATCCTTCTCCTTACGTACAAAGCTCTTCATGGTCAGGAACCATCTTATCTTAAAGAGCTCTTAGTACCTTACTGCCCTATCAGAGAACTGCGCTCCCAGAATGAAGGGTTACTTGTGGTTCCTAGAGTCTTAAAAAATAAATTGGGTGCTAGAGTGTTCAGCTATCAGAGTCCTCTTTTGTGGAACCAGGTTCCAGTTTGGGTCCGGGAGGCAGGCACCATCTCTATATGTGACCAAGTGTAAAATAGAATATAAAATGACTTAATTAGTAGTACAATGTTTATTTACAAAAATATAAAAATCATTATTGTTGTTCTGAAATCTTAAATAATATAACGTGGCAAAACACTTAATCGATGGCCTTTATTAAAAACAGGACAAGCGTACACTTGACTGACCTGGAGTAGTGTAAATAATAATAAATATGCAGCTTAGGAAACAAATAAAATCAAAACGGCATGGCCAAACAAAGCCCAAATAAAAACCAAACAAAACATGCAAAGGTGCCCCAAGTCAATTCAATTTGACACAGTCCAAAACTTCTATACAGACCCAGACAATTAGTGTACAGCCTAAACCTTAACAAAAGGGAAAAAACAGTGGGTGGCGGCTCAGTAGCATCCAGATCATCGCTTAAAGACACATACATTCCTTAATCAATATGATGATCATTCTATTATTCAAATCACTATCTTAAGTAAGTTACCTTTGTTAGCATCCCAAAAAAGAACTCTCCTAGTTGTAGATGTTAATTATAGTTAACGATGTTACTAACTGGACTCTCTCCTTTCCCCGTAGTCGTGTGCTTTCTCGTCCCCCTTCTCTCTCCTCCTATCACTTTCTGCAGATATTTCTGGCTGTGGAGCTGTGGGGTCTGGATCTGTGGTTGGGAGTCTCCTACTATCACTTCCTGCAGGTGTTCCTAGAGCAATTACAGCCACTGTTCATAGTCTTATTGCTATCATTACTGCTTTCATTATCATTAGTATCAATATCTTTACTATTTTTCATCCAGTCTGTGTGTTACTGTGTAACACTCCGTCTGTCATCCCCACCCCCCACCCTGAGCCCTGGTTCTGCTCCAGGTTTCTGCCTTATAAAAGGCAGTTTTTCCCCCCCTGTGTCTCCTAGTGCTGCTCTTGGTGGGAACTGTTGTTATTCTGTAAATAACTCTGAGCTGCACTGTTTGGAAAGCTGGGAGATAACTGTTGTTGTTGTGATGTGGCACTATATAAATAAAATTGAATTAAATTTAATTCCGTCTCTTTTTCCAAAGACTCAGGTTCTAGGCGATCCTACACAAGTCCCCATCCCAGAGCCAAACAAAATTCGTCACCAGCAAAGATCACTTGCCAGAGTTACTTGAAATGGTGGTAAATACAGAAAGTAAGTGTTTATTGAGTCAAAGTGACAAAAAAAACAGCTGACAGTTACATACTCCCAGTTTGGTTTTCATGCACCACCAAATCTCAAAATAAAACATCTCAGTGGATAACAAAAAGAAAGTAAATGCATTTGAATTTGGCCATAAAACAAGAAACTCAAAATGATGAAAACACCTCCAAACTTTTCTGCTTTATGAGAAATCTGTGGAAGAGAAGTTAGTGGTTGAGTGGATAATCTGGGCTGGGATCCTTTATGCATTTCTGCCTTTACAGTCTCTGATTGGACCTTAATCGTGTTGGCCATGTTGTTTTTTTTTTTTAAGGATTGGAAGCTTTAAATGTACAGTTCAAAGACAGCAGCGTATTCTTGAGGTTTCAGCCTCAGAGTGGACTTTCCAGAAGTTTCTGAGCAACTTTCTCAGCTGGTTGGAAGCCTTTAGCACATTTCCTCAGCCTGGGGTTCAGCCAGTACGAGATAGAGCTGCAGCATTTCACAGCTTGATGAACTTTTTGTGGCCACATTTTAAGTTGTGCAAAAGTGTTTGGGCCCCTCATCACAGCTTCAGCTCTCTGGAAAGGCAGGGGTCGACCTCCCTGACAGCCTCTATCAGAGTTTTGCTGCTTTCATGTCCCTTCCTCATCACAGTATCAATCACATCTGGAGCTTTCTCTGCTCTGGGCTTCGTCTTTGCTGTCTGCATCTCCTCATTAATCATAGCACCGTGCTGAAGGAGTTTATCCAGCAGCTGCTTCAGCACAGAATCAGAGACTCTCTTAATGACTGCACTCAGACCACAGACACTCTGCCCTTTTCTTGGAGTCCTGGGATATGCCTCTGTGCGGATTTCCATCTGGGACCTTAAAGAAAAGCAGAGAAATGAAGATCAAAATCTTAAGCTAACAGCTATTGGCTGATGGTTTAAACATGATATCAGGCTGACATGTTTTAGGCCTAAAGACTCTGATCTGACTTTGGGTGGATTAGAGGAGTGACACCAGACAGTCTGACCCCGAATGGCTTTTCTCCTCAAACACTGTTCAAACATGCAAACACAAGAGTTTGAGCTTTTGATTCTTTGTGTAATTCCAGAGGTTTTAAGACTAAATCCCAGGAAAGGAATGCTGGAGTTTGATTGGACTCAGACCTGAACTTCAGCAGTTAAATCAAAGCTGAAGCTAAAACAGCGTTTTCCCTCTTCAACCTGCCCAATTAGAGCTTTATCCTTTTTGTGATCCACCCATCTTGCTTCCTGAAGGCTGGACTTTTTTGCCATAAAGCATCCACAGTGTGCCATCTAATGACCCCGAGTGGCACAGACTCCCCCCGTTAACACTGGCTGTGGACAGGCACTCACAGCTTTTGTCTCTGGAGGATTTCTTCGTCCAGCCACTAAACCTTTGGAGCAAACACAAGCAAACAGAGAGTAGAGAGTAGAGAGTAGAGAGAGAGAGAGAGAGAGAGAGAGGCTGCAGTCAGTCACTGTCCCATCATTCCTTCAGGAATAAGCAGTTTATTTTAAGAGACACACCAAAGTTAAGTAGCCTGTGAAGAAGAGTAAAAATTGAATTGAATTGAATTGAATTGAATATACTTTATTGATCTCCAGGGAGAAATTGACTAAAAACATTCTGTTTATTATTCTGACAGGAAAAAACCCAAAATAAAAAATTTAAGTCTCTTTGTGTGATAAAAATGCTATCTCAGTCATCCATTAGAGCTGAGCATGAGCACCAGGGGGCGCCGAGAGCAATTACAGGCAGAGTGGGTCATTTCGCTCCTCATTTCTTTGCATATTTGAGTGATAATTCCTATCATCAAAGGCAAAACACCTTAATGCAAACTTAAATCTGCGGTCTGTTTTTATATGTTCATTAACAATATTACAGACAAATAGTCTAGTGTTCCAATGTAGTTTCCCAGTGACACATTAGAAGGTCAAACCAGTTTCCTTTAGCTGTGAGAGTGATCAATGATCAGAATTATTGGTAAGAAAGAGATGGCTGAAAAGTAATTGTGTCCCCTGGAGGCTTAGATTGGTACTGCATCTGCCTTTTTTTTTCAGGTTCATTTGAGTTTTGGACTTAGTTTTAGGTTAAAAACCTTTGTGGTTGGTCTGCATACAGCTTCTTTCTTCCCCCATCCCAGCATTCATTCAAGAGCTGAATAAGATAAACAACTATGATCTAGAACAGTGGAACTGCTCAGGCTTTAAGCTCTGGGGACTCTGGAAGTAAAAATCCCTGTTGCCACGAGGCTGTTCATGCACACACAAAATAACCAGAGAGGCCTTTTTATCTCTGCATGATTAAGATTTCTGCTCCCTGCAGGCCTGCAGAACACAGAGGGTGTTCAACCTGCAGCCAGACACAGGAAAAGACAGCCCAGCTCCCCCTCTGCTGACCTCACAGTCTCCAGTCGACACTCAGGGCTGTCCACCAGAGCACACAGACTCTCCTCAGCTGGTTTTCCCAGGGAGTTTCCACCCAGGTCCAGTTCCACTAGGTGGGAGGGGTTTGACTTCAGGGCAGAGACCAGAGACCAGCAGCTGGTCCCAGACAAGCAGCACCACTGCAGTCTAAGGAGAACAAAGGACAATCTGGGTCCGATCACATTCAGAGTAAAGCCAGTAAAGCCAGATGTTACACACAGATGTGACTGTGGGTCCAATCACATTCAGCTGGTCTCTGACAACCAGCAGAGCTCCAATCTGAATAAAGAATAAAAGATGTGAGCTGAAGACTTTACTATGAAGAGCAGCACAGCTTTCAGCTCATCCTCTGATCTGAACTAACCACTAAAACCTGGA